GCTTGACACCCCCTCTCAGAAGCCCCCATGCCCTGGCTTCAGATGTCTATAGCCTTTGGAAGGGAAGATTGGTGGGAGCTGGGTGTAATTGGAGGCGGGGTGTCGGGGGACCACAGAAACCACACAGCTGTTATCTGGAGCACCAGAAGTGTTTTGACAGTTTTCAAGATGGACATTAAATCACTTGCTGGAGAGAAAGTGAAGTGGGTGTCAGTCAGACTGGGGATGGTGGAGGGAGGGTACAGCTGGCAAGTAGCAATTGCAGTGACTGTGTGATGGGAGTCAGAATGAGAATCATAAATCTTGATTATTCTCTGTCTCAGCTGATTTGAACCAAACGCCTTGGACAGAGATAGAGTTCACATCTCGCTGAAAACTGCAAAAAAAACTGATTAAATGTACAAACTGATATAAATAACCCTCGATCCATGTTAATGTTCAAACTGTCACCAATGAGGAAAAGAGGTTACATTTTGCAGATCCAGGATCTGTTTTGATAAGAAATGGCATACTGGATCCCCAGGAGCCAGAGGGATCCACCTCCCTCCTTGTGTGTTTTCACTCTGGTCCCAGGAACATTATCGCTCTGGTGCCTGAATGCTAGCTGCTCTTATAATGAAGGCAATTAGTACAGCCAGCCCTCCTGATTCTGGGTGCCCTCCTGGTAAAATCAGGCACTCTATAGAAAATGGAAATGGAAAGTCACTACTATAAAGCAATAATAAAGCAAACCATTCAATTAGGGATGAAAAAAAGGCACTTGTTTTAATAATATTTATGCTTAAGAGCATTAAAGTACCAGCATATTACCATTTTTGCATACATAATGAATGAACTTAGAGACCAGAAGGATTAGGATATAAAAATGATGGTGCCCTATGACGGGACAGATGATGGTGCCCTTCCTCACACACCAACGCCGTGCCTCGGGATCTGGGGATGGAGGGATGTATGAAGACCACAGGACCCCTGGACATCCCTATCACTGTTTAGAAGTCAGGATGGAGAGGCAAGATGGAGGGGAGAGCGGATGAGAAAGAAACGTTGAGTAGCTGGCAGCTTCCACTTGCAGGATAAGAATGTGATGTTTGCCACCCTTTGTTAGATGGCTGGAAGAATCCTTAGCATCAAGATGTGGAAATTAAAGATAGTGTGGACATGGGTTGCAAAGTCACATGACTACAGGAGCCAGGTGGCGCCACAAAGGGAATGGAGACGGAGTGACTGTGTTGAAAGTAAACACCTGCTTGCTATTCAGCTCCTGTCAGTTTTTTGCCACAAGGAAGCATGAGCCCAGCGTTGCCAGATCTTCTGATTTTCAAGAGAAAGTCGAAAACTTGATGTTTGTCTGAATTTCCCAAACACTATGTGAGCCAAATACAATGTTTTTGAGGACCAGATATGGCTCCTGGGGCACTAGTTGTGGTCTTTGGTGTAGTTTCTAATACTTAAAAGCAGAGGTCAGGATATTGTGTCCTTTCCTGACCTTGTCAACAGCTGGCTGTATTACCCTTCCCTCTCTAGGACTCAGTTTCCTCATTTGTAAAATAGAGTCTTCTAGGCTGTAAGCACTTTGAGGGCAATTATTATGTCTCTTTTGCTCACCATGATCCCCCCAGAGCACAGCAACATGCCGGGAGCATAGCTAGTGCACAGAAAATGTTTGTCGAATGACTGAATAAATGAAAGAATGAGTGAGAGTCCTAACATCCAGTCTTCTGGTTCCTTACCGTCAGTTCTGACCAGTCTTCTCTCTGCAACTCCTCGTCCTGTTGACCAAGACATAAACCCTGGTCCCCAACTCTGCTGCTGGCTCAATTTATATTTCCCTTTATCCACTTTCACTCATTTAGTCATTCATCTAGGAAATCTTAACGTAGTCCCACTCTCCTAGGTTAGGTCCCGTGCTGGGCACTGGGCATAGAGACAACGACCTTAGCTCTGCTCTCAAGCAGCACCCAAACTAGAGAGGTCAAATAACAAGTGAGCCTGGAAGAGGAATGCCATGTGATCAACTCTCTAGTGGAGATGTGCGCAAGGAACCATTTTGGCATATCTTTTTGACTCAGCTGTCTAACTTACCCATAATCCTACCTTAGAAAACACGTTCTAGAATCCTGGTGCTGCTCCCTGACTTCTGAAAAT